ATTGTCCAAATGTGTGGAACTAAGTAAATTTAAATATTTTAACCAAGAACCATTAAATTTTTGAATTCATACTTGTGATCGAATCAACTGCTTCTTATTTATCTCCGCCTTAAAATTCTGTTTCTGGCCAAACTTGAGTGCACCCATAGTGGTCCTTCCTCTATTTCTTTATTAATTTTCTTTGTTTAACTTTTCTCGTTGGTGCCAGTCCTGGTGATAACAAGCTAGGTGAAAGTGAAAGAAAAATGCCCATGTGAAGTAAAAAGCAATTATGAAAAGAACATTGAGAACAAGAGCAAACAACAAACACTCATAATTTTGCAAATAATGTTAGAGGAATAATAGTGAAAGATACCACTGAACAAAAAAGAAAGCAGAATCATTGAAAGGTAAAAATGAAACGTGGGTTCCTCCGCCAACATTTGGGTTCCCGAAATCCATTCGGAATTCCTCTTTTCAACGATCATGGCTAGATGAATTTGCTTGAATTTCATACTCCGCAAAAGAAGATGATCCAAAACTGGTGAGTACATAGCAATAAAATTGGGAGAGTTTGTCATAAAACCATTGCGAAATTGGAAGAAATCAAAAGATAGCTTCAGCGCCCATCAGAGCAACGAACAGCAAAGGAGTTTAATTTCAGGCATGAAATAAAATCAATGATCTGCAACTTGACCACCACAAATAGAGGGCAAAGCGGAGTATTATGAAAAAAACAATAGTTTTTATACTACTATTTTATGTGGAAGAGAATCATTTCCCTGGTAACTGGTAAAAATAGAAATGAAGGAAGTTTTCGTGCTATTTTACGACTCAAAAAAATGGTTAAATTTAAGCCAAACTGTTCAGAACGAAATATTTGACATACATATGTAGAATTGCAACAGTGATTTTAAGCGGCTGTGCGTAGAGGATACAAGGCTATAAGTTCTGGTACCCACAAATGTGAACTCTGTCCCAACTAGCGACTTAGGCGTTAAGTCTGATTACGCCTGGCAGTTCCGTTTTGTCAAAAAGATTGGCCTTATGAAAAACCAGCATGAAACTGAATTCGCTTTCTTAAAATTATAAAATACAGATTTGGTTTCAATGTATTAATAATTAATTACTCAATGTATCATATGTATAACACACACACATTAAAATTGAACTCAATGAGTACACAATATCCTTCTTAATTTTGTCATTGTTTTTGTACCCGTTACTCGTAAAGTTCAAGGGTTAAATAAATTCGTCGGAAAATATGAAGCAGGTAGAAGAAAGCATTTCCGACCTCCATAAAGAATATGTTTTCTTGATCATTCTTGGATTGCTAGCCGAATCGATCTAACCATGTCCGTCTGCCCGACTGTCTGTTCGTCCATATGAAAGCTGTGATCTCAAAAACAATAAAAGCTTTAAGGTTGGGATTAGGCACGTCGATTTTAGAGATTCTTGAAATAAATGGAATTTTGTTATAATTATCAATATACATCTACATGCCAAATATTTTTAAAGTCGGATATTATAAAGATATAGGCAATGGTTTGCAATCTGGGGAACAGTGAAGGCCATCGCGTATAGCGTAATCTTTGTTCCTAAAAACAAGTCTCTGAAAAACTTTATGCATGTGTCCCTTAACATGCATTTTTTGTGGTTTTATTTGTATTGGTTTAAAAATATTACTACTAATAATACTACGTTGATGACTACGACTATCACTACTTAGATCAAAATATGTATTTCAAGCCGTTCAATGCAGAGAACAAAAGTCGCAGTAACAGCATACCCTTCATTCAAAGCGAAATATCAGTTTGTACCACACTTTCGTACAGTAAACTCATAAGTACTTGGCATAATAAGGAAAGCAAGTTGGAGACTACAAGCGGTCGGCGAAGCTAATGGCACTTTACCCAAAGATGACAATAGAGCCGCAAAAAAAACCATTGGTACTATTGATAATATCGATGGTTGGTCCCTGGAACCCAGAACTTTACGATAGTTTTACAATTCATTCGCATCACTTGGGTTTTATAGAAATAGCCTATTCAGACAATGTTCCGCCCCAGCGACCAAAATCCGCTTCAGCGACATTTTCTTCCCTAAGAAATACACGTGCTAAAAAGAGACGGGGAAAAGTTGCTACACTCGCTGCATCGGAAAATGTATTTGCGCTTCGGGAACTTTTTGAAAAGGATATATCAAGGTCATTCGGGGAAGATTGGAACGTGGGATGCTAAATTGATCCCACAGATGAACTGGTCATGCGGAGTGTGCTCAAAAACTAATGAGGTTATTATACCCGTTACTCGTAGAGTAAAAGGGTATACTAGATTCGTCGGAAAGTATGTAACAGGCAGAAGGAAGCGTTTCCGACCCCATAAAGTATATATATTCTTGATCAGGATCACTAGCCGAGTCGATCTAGCCATGTCCGTCTGTCCGTCTGTCCGTCTGTCCGTCTGTCTGTCCGGATGAACGCTGAGATCTCGGAAACTATGAGAGCTAGGCTATTGAGATTTGGCGTACAGATTCCTGAGCTTCTTACGCAGCGCAAGTTTGTTTCAGTAGACTGCCACGCCCACTCTAACGCCCACAAACCGCCCAAAACTGTAACTCCTACAGTTTTGATGCTAGATAGAAAATTTTAATTGAAATGTATTGTTCTCATCAAGACCTATCGATTGACCTAAAAAAAGTTTGCCACGCCCACTTAAACGCCCACAAACCGCAAAAACCTTTATACTGTGTTTATGCCGATGCCCGAATTCACGCTTTCCATTTCCGGCGATTTCAGGCCGATTCAAGTGGTGCATAAACGCCATTTCGGTGAATTCGGGCAACACACAAAAGTTGACTATGAATTCAACCTGAAAGCGTGAAATGGTCACAATTAAACTCCGGTAACTCTATATAATTATCGTAGTTGCCAGATCGATATAAATACATAAATACACCTTACTTTTAACAAATTATTTTTCAATTCAGTGCCAGTGGAAACTAGTTTTTATTTTTATTTTGATGGTAGAAAAAATGTTATACTGGCTTGCACACACTCTATCTTTAATATTAGCAAGATTATTTCATGCGAATCGAAAAAAATTTTCGGTTTTATTATCGCTCACACCTTTTTCCACCGGTCCGGCATTTCTGTTGAGATTGATAAAATGCATGAATTCGGCCGCGTCGCATAAACAGGAGAAAATTTTATTTCACGCTTTCAAGAAATCATGAAACCCTTAGCATAAATATAGTATTAGTCCCACACTCCAAAATAACAGTGAACGTATTGTAGAACGCACGTGATAATTTTGAAAAATTAGATAAAATTGTAATGTTTATCAGATTTCTTGTTTTATTTCGTCCTCCAGGGTCTTTAAAAATGAAAAGTTAAATTTTTCATTACTTACCCTTAAAAAGCGAACATGACGCTGTGTTTTCATGTGGGATGCTTTAATATTTTTGGAAAACTTTGTTACGGGCTACTCTTTTTTGTGTCCTTTCCAATACTCAGGCTGACAAATACAAACGGACATTTATCACATTTGAATGTCCAATTAAAATAAACATTAACAACCAATTCATTCACATTTTTGGTGGCCGTCGCTTTTGTTAAGTCATTCCTACATTGAAAGACCACATGTTATTAAGTCATATACTGCTGCAGTATTACCTATACATATATGTCTCCTGACAATTAAATAAGTTGCACATGGCCATTCAGCTCCTCGGCAATATCCAGGGCAGCGGATAGCTCGTCGTCGTCGGCTCTGGTGGTTTGCACTGTGCTGGGGGACTGTGACGACGATCGAGCTTTGTGTTCACGTAAGCCATATCTATCAATAACTTTTCGTTTAGTCATTATTATATACTCGACAATACTGTGGAATGATTGGGATGAGCAGCTTTCTAGCTCTGAAAGAATGTGAAAGAAACACGAATATGGGTAAAATGCTAAATTTTTTGTTTTAATAATCTCATGAAACGCTACGAGATAGTGGACATACAAATCTGTTCCGCGCACCCCGCTTTCCAAGTGCATCCGGAGGTTTCTGGCGGTGCCAAACAGTGCAGGACAATACTGACAGAAGGTCCTTGGAGTAGACCTTCACGTAAAAACACTGGGACTTGGGATCCCTTGTATGCGATGCGCCCGAGTGTTTCAGGCTTATGAAACCGCACTTGGAGGAGACGTGAGGCTCCGCCTTCGTGCCATGAGCCTTAAGCACATGGTCTGCCATATGGGCTTTAGATCTTCAAAATATAAATATGTTGCACTGCTCGCATAGCAAAATGTTTCTTTTTATATACAATTTTTCAGTCCAATTATTAAATTATCGAATACCAGAAGATCCTATCGGGTTTCTCCATTTTCCTCATTAATTGATTATTAGAACTGACATATGTCTCTCTTGCTCGCACTTACTGAAAATCGTATAGGTGATTTTATTACTTGGCGTATCGGGATTTTTTCAGAAAAAATTACAGTTGGTGCAGGGTCAAGGAGCCTTCCAACGGCTTGGAACTCATTAACTGTATTATAGTAAAAAAAAAATATTGAAATGTCTTTTAAGGAAATGACCTGAACCCTGTTGCACCAAAATCTACATTATTTATCTGAAGAAAAAGCAAAGTTGTTGATAAAAAAATAAATATAAACATTATAAACATTTAAAACAAAACGGTTATTTGTGAAAATTCTCTTGGCTACACTGGCGGCCCACAATTGTCGCTTTTCAATTTTCACTGCGCTTGGCTAAATTGATATCTCATACTTGATCGATTTGCTAATAGCAATAATATAATCATTTGGCGCTGAAAACATTCAAAATTCCTAAACTCTCCTTGACAGTACAAATTAGAGCATTCAACAGGGGTCCAGTGAGTGTAAAACTGCATCAGCAAATATAACTTTAGGTGTCATATCTAGCAGCCGCCCTGTTATCGATTAATAAGTTCTATCGCAAAAATTAATCGGCTCGCCTTTCAAATTCCCATTTTATATTTAATAAACTGTATACTTATTGTCGTTTGAGCTTTTATTATTTGATATTTTTTACAAACTATATAAAACATAAATCATTTGCAAATTTACACAGTATTATTTAAGCTTAGACTAAGGCTATTTGTGTGCTCATTTCGGTTCGCAATCAAGTATTGAGTAAGTTGTTCATATTAAATTTTTACAAATTGCAAAACGTGTATATATTCTCTCAGTCTAGTTATAAAAGTATTGGCAAGCCAGTGCTCCCAAAGAACATAATTTATTTACATTTTTGAAATCTTTGTGTGCTAAATGCAACAATTAAGTAACATTAATTTGTATTTAAATATTTAGCTGAGTTTGGGAAACAGGTGCTTAGGTCCTGATCAATAGTATATTGTGATAAATCTTTTCAACACGTTTTGCTAAACAGGAGTTAATATTTTTGTATCAAAACTTTTCGCAATTCAGAAATGCAAGTACAGTTACATATTTTTCACATTTTTCGCAGTCAGCAAAGGCACTTTTCTTTTACAATTCCCTAAAGTTTCATCGCTGTGGCGGTATGTGTGTTACTTTACACTAAAGACTTATTATCTAGTGCGTCTGGTTTCCAAGAGCCTGCGCGGCATAAACCTGCGCCCATTCGGGGAACGTGTTGAGGTTTGGATAGACGACAAGGCCCCAGGTTTGGCAGAATACAAACAGGGTGACGACAGTGATGATGGTCGGGCCAATTCCAGCGATGGCCATGTCCTTTGTCCTAATGTTGGCATAGCCGGCAACAAGAGCGTTGGGCGGAGTGCTCACCGGCAAGTGGAAAGCCATACTACAGGCCAAGCCCGCGGGCAGGATCAGGTACAGTGGGTGAATCTCAATGGCCAGGGACTGAAAGAGATAGATAATAGAGTGTTAATGAAACCTAATGCTGCACACATGTTCTTGGAACTCACCATCTCAGCCAGGACGGGAATTATGATGTTGGCAATGGCCACATTGGAGCTGAATGCGGTTAGGAACACGGCCACCAGGATGACCACCAGCAGGAGAACAGCGTGGGGCAGAGCCTTCAAACCAATCAAGGCGGTACCAATCATCTTGGCCATGCCGCTCTGCTTGCTGCCTTCGGCCAATGCAAATCCACCGCCCAACAGGAACACCAGACCCCATGGAACCCTGCCCTGGATGAACTTCCAGGTGATCAGCGAGGGGGTGGGACCAGTGGGCACTGGACCACCGCGTCTTCTGCAGTAACGCAGGAAAGCATAATTGGCCGGTAGGATAAAGCACATGATCACGACAAAAATGGTAGGCATTGAGTTGCGGACGTCCCTGGAAAAGTAGAAGATGAAAGGCGCAGTTGAAATATTTTTCATTTTATTTAAAAATTTGTATTATTTACTACTACGTAAAATAAAAAAAGTTTGCAAAAACTAATAACGCATTAGTACCAAGGTAGTTGTTTGGGGGTCGGAATGTACATTATTTTTTTAGCCTAACGAAAAGCAAATCCTGTACTTTAAGTGAAGCACTAAATACTTCTTAAACTTTTAGTAGATTTGAAGCCATTGGGTCCTTATGACACTTGTTTTGTATTTGACTAATTGGATTTTTTTAAGACATGGCAACCTACACCATATTTAATATATAAGCTGTTGTCAAGCTGTATACCATTTTATCTGTAGGTTGCCCCATGACTTTTTAAAATAAATCCAGTCAGACAAAACTCCAGCGGGTGTCATAAGGCCGTTAGAGTTGTTATTCACAAATGGTTCATAACTAAATATGATTAAGTGGAATAAACAACTATTGTGAAGGTAATAAATAAAAAGGTTTTAACCAGAGAAAAGGAAATTCTAAAACTTAATATATAAAATAACAAAGATCTTAAATGCACTTACACGGTGTCTAACAACTGGGCCCAACCCGTAAAGATGTTCGGCTTGCGGGTGAAGTACATTATAACCATGAAGATGAACAGGATCATCACTTGGATCTCGTGAATGGACATGGGGCCCAGATCCTTGTAGCGCTGATCAATCACTTTTTTGGCCACACCGGCGCCCTCCTTTCCCCGCTGGACTTCCTGAGCCTCCTTGCTCTTGGGACGCCACAGGCCCATAAAGTGCCACTGCAGGAACACGTATGTCAGCACGGTGTACACCAGCATAGATGGCACCGAGTAGAACATGAATCTGGGGAAGTCCATTTGTTCGGTGGAGTTCTTGAAACGCGCATCGTAGATTCCCTTGAAGGTCAGATTGGTGGCGGTTCCGATGATGGTTCCGCAGCCGCCCAACGAGGAGGCGTAGGCAATGCCCAAATAGTAGCAGAGAGTGATTTTGGTGGGATATGGCGGCCTAAAAAATAAGTATAAATTTAAGTACTTGTACAGACAACATTAAAAATACATGATACGAAATGATAATATAAAGTATATATATTGAAAGGGGAAAAAGAGGAATATGGAGTAGTAAACTTTTTTGTTCATTTTACTTTTATAAAAGAAAGTATATTCAAGGAAGAGTCAGTTGCCAGGATAAAAGAAAATGTATGACTTAGGTTAAGACTATTTTTCCACCAACAAAGCTTCAATATTTTAAAAACCTCACAAGAGTATTTTTACACCCTATCCAAAAAATACTTACTCATCTTCGTTGTTCTTCTTGTTGCCTCCGACGATTTGATACTGAGGTTCGTGGTTGATCTTGCAGACGCCCTGGGCCTGAAGCTCCTCCAGTACAGCCTGGATAATCGGACACATCATGGCAGTACAGGCTGCATTCGAGATCCACATACTCAAGAACATTGTAACCATAATAAGGCCAAAGTGTAATCTTAAAGGATGAAGAAAAGCAAATACGTAAGAATAATACCGCACATATTTAACGAGCATGTATCAATTACCTTCGGGGACTGCAGCCCACGATCTGGATTACCCTCAAGGCGAGACGTTTGTGCAGATTACTGTATTCCACAGCCAGAGCGACCATAATGCCGCCCATGAACATTACCAGTGTATCTTTGAAGTACAAACGGCAAGTCTGATCGGAGCTCTAGTTTGTGGTAAAAAAGTGAAATACTTAATAAATATAGGAATATGTTTCTATATTAGAAACTCACCATTATACCCATTACAGGGAACGCGACAATGGGAATCATGGAGGTCACATATAGTGGCAAGGCTTCTGTCACCCAAAAAATGGCCATTACCAAAAGCAGGTACATGCACCGAAACGCCTGGAAAATAATATTCAAATTATTTTAATCTTAAATATACATCTTAGTGAAGTTTAAACTTACGGGGCCCTCGTTCAGAAGCATAACGGGCAGGCATAGCAGGGGCACCAGAAAGACCACCAATCCTTTCCAATGATTGGAGAAGAAGTTGGAAAACTTCACAGGCGGTTGGGGTGGTTCTCCAATTTCACTGTGGGTAAAATAAGATTAAAAAATTAGTTAGAAATATTTATAAACTGTAATTCTTCTGAATAATTGCAATACAAAAGCAACTTTTTTATTAATTGTGAATTTTAATTTCTTTTCAATTGAATTGATTAATATGGAATATAACTGAATTAATTAGCCATAAATAGTATATGAATACTGAAATCCAAGATAATACAAAAAGATCAAAGGAAACAGCTTAAATTTGATTATATTCATAATTATTTGTTTTATAAGTAAAATCAAATTCACTGTTATGCCAACTATCAATCACTATCATGTTTCACAATACTTACATTTCCATTTTGATGTCTATTGGCGGTGGTGTGTAGATCTGTAAGCAAATAGAGCAGGAAAAAAGAGATCAATTAAAAGTTCCCAACAACGAAGAACGAGCCCCCTTGTAAGAAGCGAACCACTTGTCGCCATGTAGTTCCCGAAGTAAAGTGAACCCCGAACCGAACCCAACCGCCGATTGTCATCGTTTCACGCTTCATTAAAATGCCATCCATCAATATATATGCTACCCCAACCTATCCAATTGAAAATCATTTGAAACGAGCACACCATCGCACCCAAAACAAAATAAATAAATAAAGAAGCATATGGAAATCAGGCGCGTGATATAATTTCTTTTCGCAAAAAGAAAAAAGAGCCTACTGTAAAATGGAAGTGAAATAGAATGGAACGGAACGAATACGCCTAAGTTGTGCCAAAATTGTCAACGTCTGGTGCTTGGATGGTGTGGAATATTTTATATACATAGTGGATGTTTTGTAGGCGCATATTCATGACGACAGTTGGCCTGTATTTTATATGACTAGCGTCATAGCTTCAGCTCCTAGTTTTCCTGTCGTTAGGTAATCCATGCAAAAGTTGTACAAACAAAAATAAAACACATGTGAGTTCTGGTTTAGGAGGCACGTCCTACTCATTGGTTCCTGTGGTTCCTCTTATCGGCATAAAACTAACAATCAATCAAGCCATTAAGCCCCAGACAAATATAATAACAGAGCCGCACACACCCATTCCATACTTTTTCACCCTTTTTGACGAAGCCCACACAATGTTTTTTGTAGATACATCTAAACGAAAGCACCCACTAATTATAGATCGGTGTGGGTCTCTTCCACAACAGCAATGTCAATGTCAATGATATGAGCATAAAATTTGTAAACTTTCCCGGGGTAAGCCATCAGGGACAGATAGGTAGCCAACAAAGAGATGGATCGGTTAGAATGGATCTGTGGCGTGTCGCACGCAACCTCTAAAGAGGCCATTGACTGACAACACAAAGTGAAATGTCGTCAGGAATTATACTTTATTGCCTGCAAGATATGGTGCCTCACGTGCCATAGATATATCACATAAGTAATGACCAGTTGAACCTTTCTTCAAGCAAACAGCTTACGGCATAAAACCCTTGTAAACTTTGAAGTATAACTGTCAACTAATATTGATTTATGGAAGTGATACAAAGTTGGTAATTTATATTCTTGGCATATTTATTTCCTTTGCTCATTTGTGACGTGATGGAAAAAAAGTGTATAGCATTCGTTCGTACGGAAAATGCATAATATTTTAATTTCTTCAAATTTATAGTAATCTAACTATAAAAACCGATCTTACCTATTTTTTCCTGGTTTGCAACATTTTATGATATTTATTTTAAGCTTTAACGGCTCAGATATGTGAAATAAATAAAATTAATTAGCTTAATTAACAAGTTGCCGCCTTTTGTGAAGCATTTTACTGGGCTTATCTGCGCTTGTTATTTATTTTTTCGCCGATGTTGTTATTTCGTTTGTTGTTATTTTGTTTATATATTGTCTACACTGCTTTTGTTGTTGATGGACTGTTCGTGTGCTTCAGTCAGACGTAATTGGAGACCTGCTTTTGTTTATAGGCGACGAACGAAGGCATTCAATTTCACACTGCGCGGCACGAGATCGAGAGGTATCGGAATAAACAACCCGCCCCTAACATCTATATGGCCCATCATCAAAGTCTATTAGTGCTGTTTTATTCTCCATTGTTCCGATTGTTAGTTAATAGTTCTTTGGGATTAACTAAGTCCGTTCTGTATCATTCGAAATTTGTAAATTTTTTATCTGCCTTGAGAAATATACAAAAAAATTGAGTGACAGTGCTAATAGGAATATTTTCAGTAAGTTAGCAAGTCAAAAGCCAGTCATTAATTGAAATATATTTCCACACGGCAATTAACAGAATTTTTATTTAAATTCTATCACGAGCATTGTCGGGTTCTTAGAACTCTGAATACAGAAACCTCTCCGGAGGTTCCACGCCCCCTTTCATAGGACTCCCAAACATACAGAACCTGTTGCTCTGCCCTGATAGCGAGACTGAGATGAAAGAGGCAGAAAATGATAAAGTGGAACCAACATTGTAGCACATTCCTATATACATATCTATCTGTGAGCCTACACATATAGTGCTTACAATGAGCAAACAATCTGATTGAGAATTGCCCATCTACGTCAGCGGGTGCCCTGAATATCAATCAAAAATTGAGTATATATATATTTTCTTAGGTATATAAATACTATAAATTATTACATCTTTATAAGGCAATCTGAATGTATATATGCCCGACTTTTCGGAGTGGAATTTTTCAGCTCGTTCTGGAGTGACTGACTGGAGTGACAATGATATACAGATACGTTGAGCAAAGAAAGGTTAAGGATGCTTCAGAACTATTATGTACAACATTTTTAAAAGTGATAAACGTCACCGTAATAGCGGGCAAATAGCATATATGCTAAATAGAATAAATATATTGAGATCCCAGGGAACCACAAATCTCCCAGCAGATTTACGTATAAAACACACCACCTCAATTCAGAACAAGTTCTAAATTCTAAAAATAGTTTATGCCTGATTGAATCCAGAATAGGTATCATCTGTCGATCTAAATGAACCCCAATAAACCGCAATTATATAAAATGGCACTTACGAGCACAACTTCTGACAGCTTACAACAATAATAAGGGGAATCAACTAATAATAGTTGGGCACTTCCCACACGGAACCCCAAAGTTCTCGCCTATTTTCACTTGATGGGGAAAGGAATTCTCTTAAGATAATTGAACCGCCTGACAGGCCAGACAATCAAAACTAAAATCGAGTGGGACCACCATCATCGGACCAAAGAAATATTTGCCGGCGATTGCCATTGTTGTTTCGCGGTAAATAAGTTAATGGACCGTTTACAAATCATTTTCCAAATGCCTTTTGTTTTGCGCTCGGGACGCACTCGACAGATGCAAAGATAGAAAACTGCAATGTCACAGAGAACAGATATAGTAGATGTTTTTGTCTCTGGGCGGCTTCGATAAATGGAGTAAAGTGTTTACAAGTTAATTGAAATAATGGGTCATGGAGAGAGGCACATTCCGAGTGGACAAGTGTACCCAGCTGGGGTAGAGACGTTATTTATTAACCCTCAAATGCTCACGTATTTGCGTAAATTAGCGTATCAATAAACAGGCTATATATAGGAGCTTATATATCCAATACCCACAAGCACAGTTTTTGCTTGAGTGCACTTCAAAAATGCTTAATGCGGAAGTTAAGTGGCGAATTTATGTTACGAAATTACCATATTCGGATGAGTAACAGGTTGCATTTCCAGTTAAAAACGAATAAGAGGTTAATAAGATCAATCACCCGCAAAAAAATTAATGAACGAATTGTTCTTAAATTATTCGCCGATATCCGCAGCTTATTAATTAGCAATTATTCAGGCAATTAGGGGTATAATGGATTTAACAAGCCAAATTAAAAAGAAAAATGTTTGTATAAGCAAATGAAAGCAAAATCAGGAAACTTTACAACAACAGAAAACATATTTTGTTTATCTAAAATGTGACTAATTTACCCAGACCACTTTGGGAATTATTCATGCAGTGGCCGCAAATATTCAAATAGTTTCCGTCTGCTGCTCCTTCGTTAGTCAAAACATTCGCATTAATTTTTCAATTTTACAATTTTGCCATACATTTGACTGAAGATAAGAAAAAACCAGTCCAGTAAAAAAAAAGAAATCCAGTTTACTACTACTCGGTCGCCATAAAGATATAAACAAAGCTATGAAGAAAACAAAGTGAATTGTACTAGAAGATATTGGGGTATTAAAATCGAACTATAGCGCCGTAAAATGGGGACTTCTGTTCACAATTTACTGACTTAATTGGAAAATATTTTTCTGAATGCGCATTAGTTTGTTTGGTTTGTTTATTACGCAATTTCAGAATTATTAAAAGAAAAACTAAAGCCCATGCCAAACCATTGATAAGGCATTTCAGTTTCTAGTTCAAGTGCTTGCTACTCGGGAATACACATATAGTAATAGAGGGGTACTTTAGACTCTAATCAGAGGAGGGTCGCCAAGCAAGTCGATTAAGTTGATTCAAAGTACAAATACAAAGCTAAAATTAAACCTTTTTGGTTGAAATGTGGGTTACCAAAGATTGTTACACTTGCTAGGGCTGGTTAATCCAGGTTGATGTAGGACTGTACTCAAGCTTTTGCTAAAGGCAGCACGACGATTGCTCATTAAAATTATTCAAGGGAACGGACAAATCACCTTACGACATTCGCATACATTTGGTATGGAAATTGCAGTCTTTTATTCCACTTTTCCTTTTAGTTCATTCACACATGACGCGCCACATGGCAACAAGTAATCGTGTTCTCGAATTTCGGATGAGGTTAAACGGCGGGGTTATCGCTAGAGAACTTCAGAAGTGGTCAGAGAAATATGTTGACAATGCCTTGTAATTGTATGCACATTTCATGTTATTTTATCGCATTTTCCGAATCAATTTGTGGTTGGCATCAAAGCAAGCGGAAACTGTCAAATCATTTTGTAATTATCAATAGGAAGGGACAGCCGGACGGATCTTGACTCACTAGCACTGTTCTCGAGTTTAATGCACTGTAGCACAGCATAATTGAAATTCAGTAAATGAATCTCTGGAAATTCATTCAACTTTTCACCTTCAAGCCATTTTACTTCCCCAACCAACGTTCAGCATATCAATTGTAACAACCCTGGTCATCGGAACAACAAATTTTTGATTTACTATTCTATTAATTAACAGGGATTCACAGTAGTAAACCAAATATGGATTGACAAGTCGAACGAACTGCTATTAAAATAATTGTTTTAACAATTAGTATGTCAGCGCACGGCTCTAGAACTTTGAACTTGACATTGACATTGTCAACAAAAGTGAAACCAAAACAAAAGGTAGAGAAATTAGCATACTATTAGTTTTTGAAGCAGAGACACGGGAAGTATTAGCTAAC